TATATTAATAACTAGTAAACTTAATAGAATACATACGGAAAAACACAAAAAAATCAAAAATCTGAACCTACTCTCCTTGTAATAATAACACACAGGTGTCTAAGGATTGTTTCAAAGGGTATAAACTCCATTAAGAAGACAAACCCAAAACTAAAACACGATTCTATAAAGGAGACTAAGTTAATTCATTTATTGATTTCTAAATAAAGTAAAATAATAATATATCTAAGTTCTGGTTCCTAAATATTAAGAATTCAGTTGTCAATGACAATCATTATATGACTATCACATCTATATATCCCAGATTAATTAGTTTATGTCATAGAAGAGGAAGAATAATATAAAATGATATTTCTTCACACCAGTGTAAAGAACAAGAATAATATGTGGTTAAAGTATTACTCGAGGCAAGCATCAGCATCACCAAAAGGAGCAATATGCCTTATTATTGTGTCCTTAATTAACTTATTGGTAGAAGAATATTTTGTATTATTCTTCCTCTTCTTTCACGCAAACTATGGCCTTGATGCACATGTTATATATGTCGCGAGTGCTGCAAATTATTCATATCCCAAGCTAGCTATCCGCATTAACAACACCACCCAGCAAAATAAATTCACATATATATATTTAAAGAACAAAAAATGTCCTCACTAAGCCAGCTGTTAGCATACTTGGGAATATCAACAGAAACCGATCACTTTGATTGGGATCCTGAAAAAGGAAACAACATCGATCTCGACGAGGCGAACTCTTTGACGTGCAGCGCGTGACTCCCTTCACTCGAGATCCCAACAACAAGGATGTCCTAATGCACGATGAATGCTCTGGCGAATTCCCTCCAAAATTGAAGGGACACGTGCTTCACCCAAAAGGGGACCTCATCTTGCACTGCCAACACCCATCCACACCCCTCGATGCTCGACTTTCATGCACAAGATGTGGGTCGACGTGCGGGACTATTTTCTATAAATGTCCCGACGATGATTCAAACTGCAACTTCAGGCTCGACCTCAAGTGTGCCCGCCCGATAAGGGTCCTACACAGGAGCCACAGGCACAAGCTGACAGTCAGAAGGAGGAGGGGTTGCTCCTTAATAAAAAATAATAATTATTATATTTAAATTAATTATATATAAAATAAATATGTTGGCCTGTTCTCTCAGTTTTTAGTTGGTAGCTGTCTTATTCAGTTATGGCTATTTTGCACTTTTGTGCCTTTTGGTTATAATAACATCTATCGTTCTAGAAAAAAAAAAGACTTTTTAAGATTTGCTAGAATTTCAAAAATAAAAATCAAATATGAAATCTCACTCCGAATCTCACCTCCAAATGTAGGATTTCATAGAATTCCTCCTAAATCTAAAAATTTGAAAAAAAAAAAATCTCAATTCTAAAAAAGTCTCAAAATGTCACTCGAAATCCCAAACGAATATACCCTCTAAGATTATAGCAAAAACAAAACTCTTTCAAAAACAAAAACTAAACAAAATAGATTTAAATATATAAACAAAATATTAACTTATCAATAAAAGAAATATTAACAAAGAAGATACAAACTATTTGGATAAGATTGAATTGCATTAAAATATAATAGTATAGTATATGGAACAAATAAAAAAGTGTGGGGAATACTATTTTCAATTTTACAACATATAGATTAAGTATAAAGTGTTATAATATACATTTATTAAAATTAGAAATTTATTTTATTTCATATTACTAATTACATAACTACATATCATTTAAACAAAGTTGATATAACATAATTATATAAAATGTAGATGAAACAATTTAGATGCAACCTTTGAGTAGGGATCATTTTCCTTAATAACAAAAAATCATATTTGATACATATTTCTATCATGATAAATTATATAAAATAGATTGATGTACTTTAAAGGAGTTAATATAAAAATATAATTTTCTTAGTATAAAATAAAATAATACATAAATAGTTTACATTCAATGAAATATTATTTCAAATACACAAATTATACTATAATTTGTTCATATCATAAACTAATTCGTTTAAAATTTTTAATTACTCATGAAACAAATTTATGATTACAACATAAACTGAACATTGAGATTTCTGATGTACGAGAATAAAATATAAATAAAATATGAAATGATATTTATTAATTAATTTTACATATTTTAAATTTTATTGTTAGTGATATATAATATTTATATTTTTTTAATTTTTATATAACTTTTTCAATTTTTAAATTTCATAATTCTCAATAATGGGTTTTGATGTATTAATAATTAAATTATCATTTTTAAATGTGTAAAAATATATAATTAAAAGTTTATTTGAAGACACTTTAATTATGCCTTGTACTTATTATAAGAGTTATGTACAATTACATAATTATTTCAAACTTGTTCAACGTTATATAATGTTTCGTTAATTATTACATTTATTGTCTATGTTGAGTATACAATTAAAATAGGGTTAATTGCTAAATAAACCTCAACCTTTTTACGTTTGGCAATTTTATCCCAACCTTTGGATAATTGCATTATAATCTCGACCTCAATTTACTTATTGCAAATCGAACCTTAAACCGGCCGGACCTTCCAAAAACGACAGCGTGTCCGACAGCTTACACCTACGTGAATTTTCGACTTGCTACGTGGATATACAAAAAATTACACATAGGCACCAGGCCAGTTTTCAAAATTAGAAACAGACCCCAAGTCTGTTTTGAAATTACAGATTTAACTCTGGGGAAAAATTGTAATTAACTGAAACTTCTAGAAATTGCAAAACAGCCCTTCACATTTGTCAAATTCTCAAAATCAGGTCCCTGCCCTAATTTTCCTTTTCTCCCGTCAGTTCAACCCTTGCCCGCCGCCGCCACGCGTCTGCCGCGGCATACGACCTCTGGCAAACCATCGTCGTCCCAGGCCAGCGGCTTCTCGCCGCATCCCAGATTATTTTTTTAATGTTTGTCAGCCATTAATAGCGGACCGAGCTCGAAGCTTGATTTTCCCAGAAGCCCAATTTTTTTTTTTTTAATGTTTGTCTGCCATTAATGGCGGACCGAGATCAAAGCTTGATTTTCCCATAAGCCTACAGCCATGGCGGACCGAGCTCGAAGCTTGATTTTCCCAAAAGCCCACAACCATGGCGGACCGAGCTCGAAGCCTAGATTTATTTTTAATGTGTGTCCGCCATTAATGGCGGACCGAGCTCGAAGATTGATTTTCACAGAAGCCCACAGCCACCGAGAACCACCTCTGCTCGGCTCCAAGCACGAACATCCATGGAGAAAGAGGGTCACGCGACGAGGTCGTCGACGGCCGCATTAACCTTCAGTTTACTGCCTAGCGGCAGCGGTGGTTGGCCGCGCGATTTCCGGCGACCAGGAACAGTGGCCTCAATCGTCGGCAGTGGCGTGACGGGAGATCGATGATCAGAGATGGGCGATGTGTGAATCGGCGAGAATTGCAATTCCAAGAAAAGTTGTATACGAACAGATTGAAACTAATTCCAATTTCTTTTTCTTAATTTCAGTTTAATTGACATTAAAATAATTTCTGTATATCCACGCAAGCCAAAAAATCCACGTAGATGTAAGCTGTCGGACACGCTGGCGTTTTTGAAAGGTCCGGCCGGTTTAAGGTTCGATTTGCAATAAGTAAAGTGAGGTCGAGATTATAATGAAATTATCCAAAGATTGGGATAAAATTGTCAAACGTAAAAAGGTTGAGGTTTATTTAGCAATTAACCATTAAAGTACATAAAATAACGTAGATTTTATTGTGACATCTTTTGTTGATTGTGCAAGATTTAATCGTTATTTATATGTCAAATAAACTAAAGAATCATATGTTGTTCTCATGAGAATATGAACTTTCATTTATCTATAATTTTTTCATGATAACATTTATAATTATTGTAGGATATTATAAAAATAAAAGTTATTTATTTCGAGTGGAAACTACCGGTGTTTGAATTTCTATGCAGATTTAAGGATCTTTAGCATGTCAAATTGAAGATTCAACTTTGGAGCAATTGAGAGATAGTTGTACCAGGAAGAGAAAACAATCATACCCAACATGGCAGTGTCAATATTACGTTGATTCCAACATAGCCATGTTGGTATTATTCTTGAACATATTTCTGAACTGGGCTCAATTTAACAACGAGGCCCAAAAGAATACTAAACCTATATACTAGCCGCACGCAAAGAGAAACAGATCTACTGGGGGAGCAGTCTCACGCAAGAACAGAGCACAACATCAGCGGCTCTCTCTTCTCTCTTCTCTCTTTCACTTTCTTCATCTTTTATTTTTATTTTATCCTAGATTATGATAGACCTGCGCGGCTAATTTACCTTTGTCTTGGTTGAAGACAATCAAACTCCGAATCTACTACTATGAGATCGAATTAGTTTTTATTCCAATTCATATATTTTTTGCATCAATTTTTCGTGTGCATATTTTTATGATTGATGTAAGTTCTGAAGATTGGCAGTAAATCGACGAACCTTCTTCAGTTCCCAGTTTCAGACGATGCATGAATATTTAAGGGAAATTGACTTTATTAATTGAACGAGTTCTTTTTGAATTACTTATGTTTATTGGTTAATATTTATATGTGGTTTATTATGGCAGGTCTAATGGAAGGGAATTGGGATTCACCTTCTATATGCGCTCACCTACCATATGCGTTCACCTTCCATATGTGCAAGATACGGATCACGCGACTTGGACCTTCTAAAAGACGACTTGACTTTGCAGCGAAGTTTGATGAAGAATTTACCATATGAGGATGAGCATAAAAGGACGACGAGATGAGTATTGAGGAGTACTTTGATTTTTATTCTTTAGGTGAGATAATTTGAGATTAAGGAGTTGTGTAGTACTGGGAGTGATTTATTATTGTGAGTGAAAATATAGAGTCAACGGAGGTTCATCCTGTATCAGTTTGAGGGATTCAAACGTGAAAAAACACAAGGGATTTGTGGTCGGATAAGTAATAGTGCAGATCATTGTTCAAGTAGAGTGTAGAGGGAGTCTATACTGTAAATCCTTGAAGAATGATTGTGATGTTTGCATTAATGAAAGAGATCCGAAGGGAGAGTGGGACGCTCTCCTGAAGGGTCAATTTTTAGTTATATTGCTTCCGCAAATTGTTTGAATCTTCTTTAAAGTCTGTTTATGTTTAATTGCGTGCAACTCTGAGTACTTGTGATACAAGTATCAAACTTCAATTAATATGTTTAGTTGATGGATTGGCCACCTGTTATTCTATACATATGATCAATTTCTTGATTGATACTTGAGTCGGATTTAGATCATGCGTCTTTCACTAGAAGCAACTAAGCTAGATAATTGACCGGATTTAGGCATTGTCGTTCTTAGGCGAAATAAATGAACAAGTTAATATTTAACAGATTAGTTATTTATTGCTTAGACTGTCGGTCTCTTGTATTTAATGCTATTGCTAGATTAATTTTTCACGATGTTCGGAATTAACTAGTTATAATGGTCTCGCAGAAGGATTTATTTTGCGTGACTAAATTAGGAGATAGAATTTATATTCAATGGTAGTTGTGTGGATTGTGAATTTATGTTTTTGCATCAATGATCGGTGGGACAGTCAAGGATGGAAATCAATTCAACCAAGACACATTCATATTATATCTATTTTCTCTTGTTTAGTTTTATTTTATTATTTTATTTATTTGTTAATTTGATTGGTAATTTTTAGTTTAGTTAGATCATTAATTCAAATTCCCCCCTTTTAGATCAAAAAGTTGATAGATTTTGTTTACTTCTCCCCGTGGATACGATCCTTGCTCACGCTACTGCATATTTTTAAGCAAGGTTAATTTGAGTGCCCACGACACGACCATAACACCATGGGTTTTGAGTAAAAAGTCACCTTTTTAGACGAGCCTGAACATGGACAAATGCACATGAAACAGGTTTTATACACTAAAGATTCAACATGTCGCAGGCCAACATCTGGACAGCAGTCATGACAACGATAAGTTCAACAACCCGTTACAATTCTACAGTGTCCGCTCATCCGAACGACGACCTCAGCGCTTGCAAGCATCCGACAACGTCCGCTCATCCAGAGTTTTTTTATTTTTGATACTAGCCCTTGAGCTATAAAAGCTCATTAATTCCCATATACAACTTATAATTAATACTTTCATTTACCCTAAAATATTTTTAATTTTTATTGTAAGGTTTTTACTCACAAAAAATGAAAAAACGAATTAGCCTAATCTACTAATAGATATAAATTCATATATTATCCATATATGTCGGAATATTCTAATATTTTAGGCATACCTCATACTAATTTAACACCGATGAGCTCGGTCTAAGAGGTGACCAAACTGCACTATATTGATTGCCATATCAATATCTACACAAGTTTGTATTGATTCAACAATAAAAAGTTAAAAACCGATAACTATGGTAAGTCGAAACGTTAGAGCATCTGTAATAACCTTTTCATTGCTCTATTTTGATGCCACATGACGCAAATTCTACGTGGCATGGAAAATGTCTCGAAGTATTTCTAGATGTAGAAGTCGTTCTAAGCAACTTCTATTATATATTATATTATTTATTGAATTTATTTCTCTTCTCCAACATCACAAATGATACTGGAATTAATATTAATCATTGAAGACACCATATATTAATTTTCTTTCTCCATACCATATAAGACAAAATGAACATACAAATTTTTAATTTTCTTTCTCTATGCCATATAACACAAAATGGGCAGATTCGATGCTACCACATGGGGTAGTGCCCCCATGGGGTTGTTAGCCACACATTTTTCATGGCGTCGAGGCAGAGGCGGGTCGCAGTGTTGCTGCAGGGGTGGGTTGTGGCTCTGATTGCCGAGAAGGTGGTCGGGACAGAGGTCGGTGGGTTTCCTCCCTCTTGTTCCTTTTCTCCTGGTGTTAGGTAGGAAGAGATGTCCGACGCATCGGGCCCGACCGTGGTGTGGGCTGGGAACGAGGCGGTGGTGGTGTGGCGAGGGGTTGTTCGGCTGTAATTCGACTGAGGGGTTGGGGTCGGCTGCCACAACGAGGATTTGGGATCTCGGTTTTCGGATCTAGTTAGGCGGATGTTGCAGTTTATGGTGCTGAAATTTGGATCGTGGATAGGCTTGTTCGGTGGTCGGTCGTGGTGTTGCTGTCGAGGTCGTTGGTGCATTTGTCCGGTTGGAAATGACTTATTTTTTGGTTATTGTGTTTTTGTCTATGTTTTTTGTTTTTTTTGTTATTCTCCTTAGGGATATAGATTCTCAAAGGGACACCTTCACTTACATGACTTACCATCTTATATTATAATTTTTTTAAGTTATATGAGATAACTACTTTGTAGTTAAGTTAGTTTAAATAATTTCATTTTTTTGAATTAATATTAAAAGGTAATTTAATTTTCATTATAAATATAAATTGAATTATTTATTTATTTGAATGTATAATATAGACGTTGAATCGAAACTCATCAAGACATAATTAATTTGATATATTATATATAAAACAATTAATAAATAAAAAATTATTAACTTTCAAAATATATTTATAATTTAAGTTAGTAAATTTGTTATAATTTTAGAAGAAATATTGAAAAAAATTATACCTTATAAATCACGTCTACAACAAAAAATAGTATTTAAATATAATTAGTGCTCTTAAAAGGGACCACAAATATTTAGTATATTTATGGTATTCCAAACCTAGTTGCTTTTGGATTGAAAATAAAATAAAATTCATTCAAGACAAACGAGAAAGCTTAAAAATTTGCTACAAAAGATTTTGAAGCATGCGAGTCTGCCATTTAAACTCAACACATTCGAGTAATATATATAAGGGGGATACAAATGCAATTGCCAATTTGATTGGTAGGATTTGGCTTACATTTTATGTACCCAATTTGTTATACACTAAAAAACCATAATATGAGTATGAGACAGTACGTTATGGGTATGAAAATTTATGAAATTTAAAAATTTAAAAATGCGAGTATGATTGTATATTTACATTTTGTATCAAACTATATATATTTGTATTATGAAAAATCTGAATGTATTGTTTAGTTACAATTAAAGTTAGTTATTTATGGCAGGTCTAATGGAATGGAATTGGGATTCACCTTCTATATGCGCTCACCTACCATATGCGTTCGCCTTCCATATGTGCAAGATACGGATCACGCGACTTGGACCTTCCAAAAGACGACTTGACTTGGCAGCAAAGTTTGATGAAGAATTTACCATATGGGGATGAGCATAAAAGGACGACGAGATGAGTATTGAGGAGTACTTTGATTTTTATTCTTTTGGTGAGATAATTTGAGATTAAGGAGTTGTGTAGTACTGGGAGTGATTTATTTTTGTGAGTGAAAATATAGAGTGAACGGAGGTTCATCCTGTATCAGTTTGAGGGATTCAAACGTGAAAAAACACAAAGAATTTGTGGTCGGATAAGTAGTAGTGCAGATCATTGTTCAAGTAGAGTGTAGAGGGAGTCTATACTGTAAATCCTTGAAGAATGTTTGTGATGTTTGCATTAATGAAAGAGATCCGAAGGGAGAGTGGGACGCTCTCCTGAAGGGTTAATTTTTAGTTATAATGCTTCCGCAAATTGTTTGAATCTTCTTTAAAGTCTGTTTAAGTTTGATTGCGTGTAACTCTGAGTACTTGTGATACAAGTATCAAACTTCAATTAATATGTTTAGTTGATGGATTGGCCACCTGTTATTCTATGCATATGATCAATTTCTTGATTGATACTTGAGTCGGATTTAGATCATGCGTCTTTCACTAGAAGCAACTAAGCTAGATCATTGACCGGATTTAGGCATTGTCGTTCTTAGGCGAAATAAATGAACAAGTTAATATTTAACTGATTAGTTATTTATTGCTTGGATTGTCGGTATCTTGTATTTAATGCTATTGCTAGATTAATTTTTCACGATGTTATTAACTAGTTATAACGGTCTCGCAGAAGGATTTATTTTTGCGTGACTAAATTAGGAGATAGAATTTATATTCAATGGTAGTTGTGTGGATTGTGAATTTATGTTTTTGCATCAATGATCGATGGGACAGTCAAGGATAGAAATCAATTCAACCAAAACACATTCATATTATATCTATTTTCTCTTGTTTAGTTTTATTTTATTATTTTATTTATTTGTTAATTTGATTGGTAATTTTTAGCTTAGTTAGATCATTAATTCAAATTCCCCCCTTTTTGATCAAAAAGTTGATAGATTTTGTTTAATTCTCCCCGTGGATACGATCCTTGCTCACGCTACTGCATATTTTTAAGCAAGGTTAATTTGAGTGCCCACGACACGACCATAACACCATGGATTTTGAGTAAAAAGTCACCTTTTTAGACGAGCCTGAACATGGACAAATGCACATGAAACAGTTTTTATACAATAAAGATTCAACATGTCGTAGACCAGCATCTAGACAGCAGTCATGACAACGATGAGTTCAACAACCAGTTACAATTCTACAGTGTTCGCTCATCCGAACGACGACCTCAGCGCTTGCAAGCATCCGACAACGTCCGCTTATTTGGAGTTTTTTTTATTTTTGATTCTAGCCCTTGAGCTATAAAAGCTCATTAATTCCCATATACAACTTATAATTAATATTTTCATTTACCTTAAAATATTTTTAATTTTTATTGTAAGGTGTTTACTCACAAAAAACGAAAAAATGAATTAGCCTAATCTACTAATAGATATAAATTCATATATTATCCATATATGTCGGAATATTTCAATATTTTAGGCATACCTCATACTAATTTAACACCGATGAGCTCGGTCCAAGGACCAAACTAAACTATATTGATTGCCATATCAATATCTACACAAGTTTGTATTGATTCAACAATAAAAAGTTAAATATAATTAATGCTCCTAAAAGGGACCACGAATATTTAGTATATTTATGGTATTCCAAACCTAGTTGCTTTTGGATTGAAAATAAAATAAAATTCATTCAAGACAAACAAGAAATCTTAAAAATTTGCTACAAAAGATTTTGAAGCGTGCGAGTCTGCCATTTAAACTCAACACATTCGAGCATTATAGATAAGGGGGATACAGATGCAATTACCAATTTGATTGGTAGGATTTGGCTTACATTTTATGTACCCAATTTGTTATACACTAAAAAACCATAATATGAGTATGAGACAGTACGTTATGGATATGAAAATTTATGAAATTTAAATATTTAAAAATGCAAGTATGATCGTATATTTATATTTTGTATCAAACTATATATATTTGTATTATGAAAAATCTGAATGTATTGTTTAGTTACAATTAAAGTGCTTTTGAGCAGCAACAAATCCAGCACGCCCAAAATTTTGAAATTACCCTAATAAATTATCCAAAAGAAGAAAAGAAAATAATAAAGATTTAATTGAAATTAATAATATTTGATAAGTATCAAGTCCACACGCTCCAAAAATTGCTCCATCACAATTTTCCCCCCTCTCTCTCTCTCTAGAAACCGGCGAATCTGTAATCTGAATGGCGTCCCCACGCGAGGAAAATGTGTACATGGCCAAGATGGCCGAGCAGGCCGAGCGCTACGAGGAGATGGTTGAGTTCATGGAGAAGGTCGTCGGTGCCGTCGACGGCGACGAGCTGTCCGTGGAGGAGCGAAACCTTCTATCCGTTGCCTACAAGAACGTCATCGGCGCCCGCCGCGCCTCCTGGCGGATAATCTCCTCCATTGAGCAGAAGGAGGAGAGCCGCGGCAACGACGCTCACGTCTCGGCCATCAAAGGCTACAGATCCAAGATCGAGGCCGAGCTCTCCTCCATCTGCGACGGCATTCTCAACCTCCTCGACTCGAAGCTCATCGGATCTGCAGCCAGTGGAGATTCCAAGGTCTTCTACTTGAAGATGAAGGGCGACTACCACCGCTATCTGGCGGAGTTCAAGACAGGAGCTGAGCGCAAGGAAGCAGCAGAAAACACGCTCTCCGCGTACAAATCCGCTCAGGTTAGGGTTTCATGGTTAATTGATTTTTATTTATTTTTACTGTCTATCTCATTTTGGTCCTTTATGCGTTTTGGGGTGATACATGTACCATGTGAGAAATGTGGATGGAATCAATTGATGGATCTGAGAAATTTCAGCTGTCAGTGTTCAATTGATGATTGATTATGCTACCGATTTAATAGATTTCTGATTGTGTTTTAGTAATTTCGTGGAATTACACTGATTTGTGCTTTCTTTAGGTGGTTCAGCTGACAAGGTACTTTAGCTTCCAGCTGCGTTCTATTTGCATCTGTATTTTACTTGTCATAATAGATCTTCCATATTGAACTGCTGCTTGATCTTAGTAAAAGATATGTACTGTTTCTTCAGAGTATTAAAATGTTTTAAGTAGGAATTTTATGACTGATGTTCTTGTGTAGTCCTAGGTTTTGCGGTATTTATCCGGAACTTCACCTTTATTTAGCATATAAAATTATCACCAGATCTAGATCTGTATATTTGGAGCATTTGTGCATACTTTGAGTATAATATATGCAACTTTAGTTGAACTGAGTGTGTTTTGGGTGGCTGTAGGACATTGCTAATGCTGAGTTGGCTCCAACACATCCAATCCGACTAGGACTGGCACTCAACTTCTCAGTCTTCTACTACGAGATTTTGAACTCTCCTGACCGAGCTTGTAATCTCGCCAAACAGGTCTGATTGATAGAATCAATCTTATTTGTTATTTGTATTATTGTTTGTATGTCAGAATACATATTCTCATTATCTTGTGGGAGATCTATCCGGGCTTATATTTCTGGTACTGTGATTTTCTATGCATGATTCTAAACTTCTATCGGTGCCGGTATATGACTTTTTTCCTTAAGTAGAAGAAATGCTTGGAAACACCCACTAAACATGAACTGGTAATTTGTTGGCAGTAAGTTTAAAAGGTTGGTGCTAAGGTTTGTTTATACTATTTTAGGCTTTTGATGAGGCCATTGCTGAGTTGGACACTCTCGGAGAGGATTCATACAAGGATAGCACCCTAATCATGCAGCTTCTACGCGACAATCTAACTTTGTGGACTTCAGACATGCAGGTAGAGGCTTCTTCTTTTCTTCCTATGAACAGCTGTTATTGTTTAAATGAAACAGGGTGACTGATATATTTACTTGCTTTTGGTACAGGATGACATATCTGAAGAGAACAAGGAAGCACCAAAGCCTGACAAGGAGTAACTCTTTCTCAGATTAGTATATTTGGGGTGTTCTACCATTTTCTGAAAAAAGGAATGCTTTTTATTGATGATTGTCTAGCTTGATGATGATCACTTGTTTGGTGGCCGCCATTTAGACATCTTTATGGTTTTCCAACTTCTATAACAGTTATATGGAATACTAATGATGTTTGTGCTTGGCTTGCTTATATAATTGATATTTATTTGTCATTAAGGAAAAAAAAAATCGTCTATTGTGTATATTGTATATCCTTGTTTTGGATTGCCTTTTAGATGATTGAACATGGTGAGTGCAGAATGGTCATAAATCATGATGCTAGACCAGCCTGTGCAGCCTAACATTTGCCTTGTTATGAGACCACCTTTTGACTTGGATGTATGAGTGCTAATTTTATCTTTCATGTCAAATGACATAACAGCTTTGAAAATTAGCTTATGAATGTTGATCATTTGTGGTTTAACAAATCAAAACCACATTCATGAGCGTCACTTGATGTACATCTCATATGAAAGGAGAATCAAGTTTTAAATAAGACCCAAGTATCATTAATATACAAGGCCACTTGATGTACATCTCATGTGGAATGAGAATCAAGCTGCAAATGAGACCCATCTATCATTTATATATCAAGTTAGACCAAAGTATCATTAAATACAAGGCGTCACTTGAAGTAAATCTCATTTGAAATGAGAATAAAGTTTTGTAAAAGAGACCCAAGCTCATTAATCTACAAGGGAAAAACTTGCAGGAATAGATATGTTCAGTCTGCCTAAAAACTTGCAGGAATAATACAGATATGTTCAGTATGTAGGCATGACCAAGATAACTTGTAAATTTATTTATACACTAGAATGCTAACAATTTAAAAGGAAAAATTCAATCATGAACAATGGCAAGTATGTTTTAAGAGCACCCACAATGCTTTGGGTCTCGTTTTGTACATGTAGCATATAAATGGACTTGGGTCTTAAATGACATGGACAAACCCAAGTAAAAAAACTAAAAAACTTTGCAATGCAAAAATAAAAATATTAGGTCTAGCATACATGCCAACTAATAAAAATATTCTAATATGGTTTATTCATTAAAAGAAAAATTAAATTAAGAACAAATGATGAGTGTTTGTGTTTGTACTTGAGTCTAAAATAGACTCTAAGTGTGGACTTGATCTTTTTTTTTTGTTGCCACATAAGCTAGACCATATCCACTTTTAATTGCATTGGAAAACATTTTTTTATAGACTAAGTCAATTTCACATATGGCATGTGATTTTTTGGTAAGAGACTCAAAGCAAGCATTGTAGGTGCTCTAATATCGAACCATATTAAAAAATAAAATGCAAGCATCATGTAAAATCTATTTAGACTAAAACCACAAGAGGAACTAGCATCATCTCAAGTAACAGAAGCAATTAGACAATACAACCAAATCAAATGACAAAATCAGATGACAAAATGAGATGAAGCAGCTACCATCTTCTTAAAGTAAATGAAGCAATAAAACCATATAATAAAACCAAACTAGTATATAGCTAGAAACAAACCAGAATCCTTTCAACAATTATCCAAACGGAAACTTAACGAAGCATTCACAAGACAAAACACATCAAGGGTTCATTGTTCTTCCCATCCAAAATATTACCCATAAACCTCAAAATAGCACACTAACAGAATCTGAAATCAAAGGTCCTGGCAACCACAAACACTAATACTAGAGTTTTAATATCTACGACAGAGTAAAAATCCACCAATATAACACCCAGGCATGCTTAAGCACGCTCGCCCCTGATCCTGCGAGCCAGCTGGATATCCTTAGGCATTATGGTGACACGCTTGGCATGGATGGCACACAAGTTGGTATCCTCAAAGAGACCCACAAGGTAAGCCTCAGCAGCCTCCTGAAGTGCCAAAACAGCATGGCTCTGGAAACGGAGATCAGTCTGCAATATACAAACACAAAATCAATCAGAAAAAAAGACCCAAACAGCAAATGTTAAACATATTTACAAAAATTAAAAGAATTCAGTTTCTCATTCACCTTGAAGTCCTGGGCAATTTCACGAACAAGCCTCTGGAAAGGCAGTTTCCTGATCAGGAGCTCAGTGCTCTTCTGGTACTTGCGAATTTCACTGTGTGAAGATACAGATTAGTTCGACAACATTTAGCCTAAATAGCATAAGATAATGTCAATGTAGTGGCAGATGAAAACTCACCGAAGAGCAACAGTACCAGGCCTGTAACGATGAGGCTTCTTCACTCCACCTGTGGTTGGTGCAGACTTACGGGCAGCCTGTATAACAGGTACATATAAAACATCAGAACACACAAACAGAAAACATAACCACGACATTTCTTGATAGAGCTAAAAAGAAGAGGGTTCAGAACCTTAGTAGCAAGTTGCTTCCTAGGAGCCTTTCCTCCAGTGGACTTACGAGCGGTTTGCTTGGTACGGGCCATCTACAAGTATATTTCAGTGGAAAATTAGAGTTGAATGAATATCCATACTTCCGAAAATTCATATTTGATAACGAGTACCATGAAAGCAAAAGCATCTCTATACATAAATCAAATATTACTCAAATTATCAAAGCGAATATGATTAAAAAAACCTAACATGTATAAATGTGTTTAAATTCAATAAGAGCAACAGTGACGTCTTCATGAACTTATACATAGGTAATCATATCACATGAAATCACAAACGACCAACCAAATAGATGCAGGCATTTGCAATGTAAAACTCACGTTCCTGCTAAGTAATTGGAGGAAAATATGAACTACCATACCAAGTCATTAATGGACACACAGCCATATTTGAAGAAATCGAATATAAACACATGGGGCGTTTTCAAACTTTTTTTAATTCAAACACAATATCTTATAAACAACAATCGCTGATCATACACATTAATGCATCATTTAAATGCTAACTTGATAATTAAAATTTGTCTAATATCCCTATCAAAGCTAAGTACGCATCTTTTTCCATCGGAAAACCCTTATTCAACAAAATTCCAGAATCACACGCGTTTTCAAAAACAACATATGGAACATCTCATAAATCGACCACCGACATCAACAAGGAACGAAAAGACTCGACCCTAATTTCCGAGATCTCAACGAAAAATTGAAAAGTCAAACCCTAATCGCACATTTGATCTGAAAAACCAATTCCACGCAGACAATTTCAGCAATTAACTTGAAACAGATAAATCGAAAAAGAGGGAAAATAAAAGATTGCGAAGCGAAGGGCGAAAACCGTACCTCTTACTCTAACGAAGCTCTCTTACTTTCTCTCTCTATAAACTCTCCTCTGATGAGCGACGATAAAGTTTGGCCTAGTTGTAGGCGCTTGCGTATATATAAGGGAGTTGAAAAGATCGGCCTTCCAAGTGCATCTGACGGCCATAAATTTGTGTTTCGTTTGCTGAATCTGTCGGTCTTGCTCGAGTTACACTGTGTTTCTTTCTGTTAAACTTACGGCCCAGATGAAAAGTTGAAGGCGTGACGCGGATCGAGGCTGCTCAACGCTTGAATCTCATTAGTTGATTTCGGCTTATCCGGATTTTACATTGGTGACGTGGAAATGTATAGGGGTATTAGGTAAAACGCGAGGATGTGAGTGGATAAAAGATCCAATTTAAGACCAATCACATCTCATTACTCAAATTAAGTGTTAACTTTGGTAAGGAATAAGGATACACACTAATTTATATCTTATTTGATGTTAACTTTGTTAAGTATATAAATTATTTTATACCTTATTTGATTAGCTTATAAATTTTGTTTGTTATGATGAGTTTATTTAAAAAACTTGAACTTTTCTCATATATCGAACTCAAATTTAACCCAATTTCACCCCATTAATGTTATTAATACAATTAAATAATATCAATCAATTATCCTTGCATATCACATTAATTTCAATACATCTAATTACATAATTTTAATTATTCATCAGTTTCAATTAACTATCTCCTAATTTTACAGCAAATAAACTTATATTATTTTATTTTAAATATCATATTAATACAAACTCAAAATCTCATTAAACTCAAGTCAACTAATTTTTTTAAAATTAAATATGATTAACCCGTAAAACTAAAAAATCAAAATATTCAATCACGAATCCATGTTCAATCACAAGTATCACTCAACAACGATTCCTGAGACCCATACAAAAATCATAAAAGTGTATATGGGTTGAAACCCTAACTAAACATATATAGAATTTCCAGCTTGTAATTAATGTAATAATTGTAATTTGTGATTGATGATTGATAAATATAATAAAAACAGTATATAAAATTAAATAATAATTTAATTGAAATTTGTCGTGCGTCAAACTCAAAATTGAACGAGGAATAGAGGTCATGAAACTAGTAAATATTAATATGCAGAATGAGTTGCCATGTTTTTATTGGAAAACTTTTATTTCATTTTGATAAATTAAAGTTTGAAAAGAAAAGGATTGATGAGATTTGAACCGTTAATATGTGAACAATAAATAGTACACTTCCAATTATTAATCATACGTAGCCCAGACTCAAAATTGAAAGAGCTACCAAAAAATTGAAAGTCAAAATTTCCTATCACTTCGTTTCAACAGCTTATGATGTCCCCAGGTCACACAGAAAATGATCGTTAACAAAACATGTTGAGGCAAGAAAATCAAATGTATAAGATACAAAAATAAAAATCTCAGCCTCTACTTAATGGAATTATAATTTACAAAAGGTATGAACAAATAACATCTAAAACTTTTATAATTAAGGTAACAAACTACAACCGCAATATGCTAATTCAACACACTAACCCGCCCAAACAACAATTATACAGTGCATGAAATCAAACAGCACCAGACCAAAATAAAATCTTGATTTAGGACCATTGAGGTGGCATCATGGTCTCGAAAGAAATAACTCCGAAAAAATAACTATATATATGCACGCATGTATGTTGTCTTCCTATTACGCCTACCACTTGGACAAATCTTCTTTAAGTCCCTCCCGAATAATGATATGAGGTACCTTGGAGAATTTACAGATTATCCTTCCATACTTCAGCATACAATCTTCTGGTCCCTTTTTTTATGAAGCGCTTATGAAAAACTAAAACAATCAGCAACCTTGAGTTGACTTGCAAGACGGTTTATAGCAGGTTGCACAGCCTTGGAGTCTGCAGCTACTGATTTGGGAAGATCGGGTATGCATACAGGCAAGTGCTGGTCATCTTTTGGTCGAAAGCAGAACAAAGAGAGAACAGCACGGCAAAAAATAAATCTGGAGACATCAACAAATAGATCAATTGAATAGCCACCATAATATTGCTGAGGTTCATGATCGCATAAGAATTTGCAGATTATAGCAAATGTTCAATTTAGACAGAGAACAATACAGCACGAAGTTACACAATTTTCAAGGAGATCTAAATTATTAAATTCTGAATCCAGTTATACGCGTTGTTATGTTTAAACTTACAAGTTGACGAGGCAATTTAGCAGACCCACAAAAAGGATGAAAATCATTATTTGGATTCATTGTCTAAAAAGAAAGGAAAAAACTGCAGATATTCAGGAAACAAGACCTTCATTTACTGAAGAATATGCTTTGAAATATTGGGCTTCCATAATTCAAAGAGTCGATCATGAAAATGATTAGGACACGAACTCATACCTAAGAAGTAGCCGGCGTAAAAATGGATCTGAAAGAAGTTGAGCCCAAACTATATCCAAGTCAGTTGACGTACAGAGAATGTCCTCCCATTTAGAGAAGGCACTGGAAAGTATGCTTTCTGTTGTGTTGTACATGTCCTGAAGTGAATCATATTAACAGAAGCTATTAGATACACACCAAAGGAGCTAGTTTCTGCAGAATTCGATTAGTGAAAACTTAACCAACCATGTCATCATTAATTAAGTTGTGATCAACTAATTGGCAGAAAGCCTGTAATGGAGCAGTAAGGAAGAAAGTGAACTGGCTTCCATGAGCCTTGTCAACACCAATTGGATCCTTGAATGAAGGCCTCAAAGGAGAAAGGAATAAAGCTACAGGTTCACCCCTTTCTGCTCCATGTAGAACCTGAAGAGTAATCAGAATATCAGCACAACAAGAAATATTCTCTTGTAGGCAAAATGCACAGTTATATATGGTGTGATTGTATATAAACTAGACTAGTAAAAAACCAATCAAAACTTAGATTTAACTCAACTTTAACCCAACCTACTATCCTCAGTATTATCAATATAATTAAATAATATAAACCAATAATTCTTACACATCACATCAACTTTAATTCACTATTCATCTACTCACATAATTTTAACTAACTATCACTTCCAATCATTTTCTCCTACTCTACATCAAATCAACTTTAATTATTTTATTTTCAATATTATTTAAATTTAAACTTAAATTCTTACTAACAACTACCACCCTTTTCAAAATTAACTATGGTTAACAAAAAAACCAATAAAATCCATATCCAATCACACCAATCACTCTAAAGGCACATATCAAGTCATGTAATAACTAAGGACATTTAATGATCATCATATAAAAGACATCTGCTCTATAGGTCAAACAGCAAATGATAGAATAGCTTTTCATTTGAATATCCAATAAAAATCTCAAATCAAGATGGCCATTTAAGTACTAAAAAACACATCACTTTTTCTGTCTCTTTATTGTGCAAGAAAAATTGTGAATTTGGTTTCAAGAACCGACATAATTATGCAACTTTGACCACATAAAATCAATGAGAAACGTACTTTGATTCCCTCGCTCAAAGGAGAAAAACAGAAATAATCAGAGTAAATTGATCTGAACATCATCTAAACAGATTTAGAGTAATGAAGACTGAAATGATTGCTAACTAACCAACAAATAAATATCAATATCTTGCACTATCCGGTGCTAATTTTCCATAATTCCTCATATAGTATTATAGTACACTAAACTGATTAATAATTATTAATAGCTTAAGGATACAATTGGCTGGTGAAGCATATGTGCACAGACGAGTTACACTACAAAAGTTTATATAAACCTGCCTTGAATGCATGGCTGTTATCACTATCAATTATCAAAAAGAGAGGCTTTCTGGTGAAAGGAATTATATCACCGGGGAAGAGGATATTTGAACCTGCAACGGAAGAATTGCACTGTTAGCTAATATTAGGGAGCAAAACCAAAACTACATTGTAACAAGACATCTCATAGCACAATGAGAATACAGTAAATACATTTTTGTAATCCTACCTCCACTTCTGCATGGGCCTAATGACAAATGATTCTCAAAATATTGATTTGAGCCCTCCCTATTATTAATATGATCTTCAGTAAAACCATTCCTCAGTTCATGATGGTTATTAGCAGGGGCACTGGTCAAAGCGTATTTTCTCGACGTTCCAGAGTTCTCAGCTTGTGAAGTACTACAATGACCGGAAATCCCTGCATCCACAACACGATGTCAATTGGCATGCTAACACCCAATCTCAGATGGAACAAAATTTCAAATGAAAGGAAAACCTGAAGTAGACAGGTATATTAGCATAACACTATCTGGTGGGAGCTCCTCGCAAATTGTTGCCATCACCTATCAGTCGTCAAGGCACAACAAGGGAAAACATAGTTTGTTAAAACTTCAAGTAAAATGCGACTCTTGTGTAAGAAAATCGTCTACTTTCTGAAAGTCATAATATGCCTTCATACCAAGTCATCAAGCCCAGATTCATTCATGGAAACATGTAAACAACCATGTTAAGTTCTGGCACTCACCGCTAACAAATGTGTCACGGATGGACGATACAGAATAGCTTTTTTAGGATTTGGAGGTAAATTTGGGTCTAACATATCTGCAATCAGATTCATGTCTATCAATCCAGAAGTAGCCGAATGATCAGCCAGTATGCCATTCTCTCTCGACTCGACAGAAAGTTTCTGGTAGAAAGTTCCACAAGGTTCCCATTCCAAACATTGCAGCATCCTAAAAGTGTCCAACGTGAGTTCAGCAAATTTCACCTGAAATAGCATATAGAGCATTGCTGAAAGTGAGTTTTTACTTCAACAGGATATATTAACACCCAAAGTTTTTAAAATACGAAAATAGATAACCTCATGTCTGTGATAGCTTGTGAGCAGGGCATCTCTAAACTTCAGAAGCCTCTTAGCATGAAAACGTGCCACAGAAGGGAGTGAGGTTGGATAAGAATCGAAAACGGCAGTATAACGCAAGGGTCTAGCATGCGAGACAGCTGAATCAACTTGCATGAACCGCACAATTTCTTGCACTACCAGCTTCCACTCTTTGAAGTTGGTTTCCTAGAGCAGAAATCTATATTGTTGGTTATATAGTTTTAGAAATGTAGTTCATTAAAGTTCACAGTAACAAATCTAATTACAGAAACTAAGATAAAACAAAGATGTAGAATATCTTAAAAGAAAAATCAGCTCCATGTATCTGATCATATGAGGGAAATCCCTAGATGCATATACATGGGCAAGTTGGTTCAGTATGCCACAAATGAGAAAATTCAAAACTGTAATATCGGGAACAGCCAAATTATCTCTCGCGGAATTTGAATCACCTAAGATATGCATACTTAAAAATATCTGTACTCATCTACAGCTGTTTGCCTTGCGATTCACGTAAGGCCAGAGAAACATAGTATGGATCTTGTGGCTATTACCTCCTAGCTTCCTTTTTTTTTTTTTTTTTTTTTTNTGTCAAGCTTCACAACTCAACTTTAAAAGAAACGGGCACGTATATATAGTGTTCAAGACAAATTTGTAATATAGTTTAATTCATCTCAACACAATTTACTGGAAAGCATGAAGATGAACAGAAACACGACCTAAATGTAATCTTGAAGAACGCAATTAAAGAGAATTTCTCCTCGATATAATGTAAAATAGTTGAGTACACCTCCTGCAGTTCAGAGCTCACTAGAGCATGAGATATTAATTAGACTACACTCTGTGTGTTGTCCATGTCAAGCCAACAAGCTGATGTCTACACAACAAAAATATAATGACCAAAATCTGTGAAGCGTTACACCAAAGTAACTTCATTATCTGTCCAATTTTAAGATGGAATTCAAATCTTCTAATTAAGTAATACACTTCAATGTGAACCGCAATTAGATGTTCCTTGATACAGTTCAACATTTACCATAATGACAAACCTACATGACTTTCAGCACATAACAAAGAATTCAAAGAAGTTTGATCATTTCAACCACTGTCCCTAGATCCTTGGTGGGATTGGTTGAGGCCTCCTTTTCTCTTACAGTTTCATTTATGTTGTCTGGGAGACACTGCTCCAAATCAAAAATAACTGTTCAAAGATCAGCCGATCATCCCAAAATATATGCCAACCGGTAGAAGTAGCAGTAGTACTTGCTGATACTTGAATACTTTATTAATGTAACACCACTGCCAGTCAACAAAATTTGCCTCAAATGTGAATTTAAATTTTTAAAATTGTATATAAAAGACAAAGTAAGAAACAGAAACAAGTCAATTATTAAACTGTTGCGAAATGAATGAACAATTTGAAAGGGATAAATAATTACATAACAGCTTCCAGATAGTGTCCTTTGAAAACCTTTTTAAAAAAATTTCAAGCCATTTAACTACTAGATAATGAGTCAAACTTAGGCCTTCAAAACAAACAAGCAAAATGGTGTTACCATGTAACAACATATATTTTGAGCACCACAACATATTATTTTTAATATAGATAGAAGGCATCACAACTATTGTTAGACTCCACAAATTCATTTCACTTTATCAAGCCAAAGCCAACTTGAACTACTAATACCGTTGGACTTAAATCTCTAGTTTGCCTTTGGACACTAGCTAGCAGGAGCGGTGCATTAGCTGATACCATCATTAATGTCTCAAACAATTCATACTCAGTGAAAACAATTTATTAATTTCAGCAAATGTGCTATAAACCCAGATGATCAAATGCAATCTATATCATGTCATCTTCGGATTTGGTTAAACTTTCCCAACAAGGCATCCTCTAGGCTCTCCAAGTTTGACTAACTCCAAATCCTTAACTGAACCCCATGCCTAAAAAAACTACATAAATAAAAGGGCATCATGATGAAGATCCTAATAACAGCTTGTCATCATTATCAAATAAAATCAAATCAAATGGCAGAAGTCAATAATATTTAGAACCATTACTTATTCTATATGGGGTGAGTGATTAGTGAAATAATGATCAAATACTTCAGCACAAGAAACAAAGTTTACTGAGAATGAAAACAAAAATGACTAACATATTCCACATTAAACAAGAAATTTGCTGAGAATGAAAAGGAATGAATTAAAATTCATTACCCGAAAACTAAGTTTACTGTCATCCACCACTTCCTTAAACCTTTCGGTGAGCAACTTCACCATCTCCATGCGGTACAGGACCAAGGAAACCGTCAAAAACCTGGCGTAAAACCTCAATTCCTTAAACCTAACCCCTCGATCCTTGGCCGAGCCATCAAAATACTTCCTTCGGAAAATTGCCTCGTAAAAGATGTAGGCCTCTAGAAGAAACCTGACTTCGCTAGTCCTCAAATACTGGTTGTAATAGAGCTGACCGATCCGTGAAGCGATCTCCCCGATTTCCCATCGTTGAAGGCCCGATTCCATCAGCTTGGCCCGATTTTCCTGCTGATACTTCCATAGCCGCATGTAGGCCTTGAAAACCTTGTGAAAGAAATGCCCGCACTGTGGCCCGCTACCTCCGTACGGATGCAGAGGCGCGTCGCGCACGCGCGCGAATTTCCGCTCCGCACTCTCCGCCAGAGCGCGGAACTTCTTTGAAACTGCTTCCTCTCTCGACATTGGGAGTGATGGAAAGCCTCTGAAAACTTCAGCTGACTTGATTTAGTAAGAGGATCATCATCTTTCTCAGAGCACGGGAGTGAAAGTGAAGGTAACGATAATTATATTGTGTTTTGGGGGAGAGAGGGAGCTGGAAAATGGAGGAAATTGAGTGTGTGCGTGTGATGGTGGGGTTGGTATTATTATCTGGTTTTTGTCTTTATGGTTGCTTGGATGTAGTTTCACGGTGACTGTCACGGCGGTGCAGGTGGCGGAGGAGGAAGATTTGTGGTATGGTTTATTGGTGGTGGGTGAGTGGTGGAGTGAACGTGGACAGTTGTTTTCTTGGCTGTGAGAGAGAGTGACGGTGAGGAGAGCCGGGGACTCGTCTGCGTGTTGGAGTGCGTGGGAGAGAAAGGGGGCGCGTGCGTGCGTGCGTGTCCTGAGAGAGAGAGAGAGAGAGAGAGAGAGAAGAGTTTAATACTCCGTATTGATTATTGAGGTGTGAGTTGGAATTCATTTAAGGCGGCCTGGTTGACTGTTTCGGTAGCTTTTCCTTTGCTGCCAATGGAGCCCAACTGCCCAAGCTTGTAGTTGTACCTTGGTGGAGGAAAAATTGAAGGGTGATTGAATTGAACATACGACATTTTCTTTCCTTATAATTAATTAGTTGCTTATTTTAGGAATTATTTATGTTAAGTAACTAATTGTTTTGTTTGCATGGTAATTAATCATGGGAAATGCTTATTAGGTTCTCTATATGTAAAATATTAAGTGTGAGAGAGAATTTAAACTAATATGAGAATTAATTAAAACATGTCACACGGCCTTTATTATTGGTTCATTTGATGATGCAATAGATTTGCGCGTGGGCTTATACTTTCCATCTCTATATCGAATGAATTTATTGTGGATCATCGGAAACGAATTTCTTCAAGATGGCTATATGAAATTATGTCGAAGCATACGTATCTCTCCACCTGTAGGGCGTGTATTCCTGAGTAATGATCTTAGTATCAAGTAATGAGTCACACTTAAAATATAAACTACAGTATCCTCTCCATCGGAGTCACTGCTATTTTTATAATGGCAGAAGATACACTGACTGGTAATTTTATTTATCAAAAATTTAGGTTTACAAGATAGTAAAATTAATGAATAAAACCTCCTTGTGCGAATGTGTGAATTCTTATATGTCCACACGATTGTGGCATGCAAAATTCCCGGTGCTCGAGGTGTCGATAAATTTAGTATATATTATTTTATGGGATCGCTAAATTTAGATTTTGACTAGCATTTAATTGCACGATTCTCTAGATTTCAGAATGTGTTTTCAACCAATTGGTTATGATACTTTATAATAATGAAATTACTAGTTAAAAATTGGTTGAAAATATAACTTGGATAGTGTCCTTAGTTCTTGAGGAATACAAGCGTGAGACAAGTGTATCCGGTTTAAGCAAAATGGAGATAGGAAGACGAATTGTTCTATCCATAATTCAAGAAGTTCAATGTTATCCATTAAGTAGTCAACATATATTTGGTGATATTATCTACTGAAACCCGATGAGTAGATACAAAATCACTAAAAATAAAAATAAAAAGGTTTCAGAAAACCAAACGACTAAGTGAAAATGAGATTACCGTCTAAAATGAGTTGTGCTACGAAACTGGTGGTTACTGCAGTGGGAGAAATCTATCGAATAGAATTTTGGTTTTGAAAAATTTTCTTTGCGTACCATGTTTTAAAAACAATTCAAAATTCAGTTTCTAAAGTAAATGGTTGGATATTATATTTTATTCGAATGGAAAATTGTTGTTTAGAAATAAAATATTTTGTCTTCGTTGATACGTTGGTAGATGATTTGTGAACTGAAGAACCAAAAATCTCTCATAAGTGCAACAAATGAAAAATTGTTACAAATCGACTAAAACCAATAAGAATCTTCAAATAATGAACCATACATAATTTTGGCACTTAGAGTTCGATAATTTTAGCTTTAGTAATATTCAAGGTAGATAGGGACCTTTTGGTCTGTTGGAAGTGGTTAAACTATCAGATCTATGGATTTTACTTTGATAACTAAAATAACCAAACTAATCTTTTGGGGGCGAAGGAGAATAAAATCCAACTCAAATTTAACTCAACTTAACCCTTCTCAATATTATCAATATAAATGAATAATACATATCAATAATTCTCACACATCATATCAATTTTAATTCACTAGTTATTCACTCACATAATTAAAACTACTCATTACTGTCAATGATTTCTCTCCCACATTAACTTTCATCATTATATTTTAAATATTATTTAAATAATAAATCAATATTTCACTCAAACACCACTCATTTTTTTTTAAATTAACTCACATTATCTAATAAATTCAATTGAAATCTAATAATATAAATCCAATCAGGTCCGAATGTACTAAGAACAATTTATTTCCAACCAATTATATTGTTTTATTTGGTTTAATTTAACAAGCCGACTTATCTTCACCTAAGTTAGTAAATGGTACATGTATATATAGAATATCCTGCTGACACACTGATTTGGGGGCACCACTCAAAAGCTCACCAGCTTAAAAGTTTGAACAAATACAACACAAAAATAGAGCTACTTTCTAGTATTATGAGATGATATGAAGGGTTGACTTTTGCGAACATAATATGCATCCACCCACTTAATTATTCACAGATGTAATTTTTTGTAATAATTCATGTCTTTTTCAATGTTTACCCTACAATTTTTTTATTGTCATATTTCTTATGGAAGGATATATGATATAAGCTTAACGGAATCCAGTTGGAATTGTCTTCTCATAGTTAACTGCGATGTGCAAATTATCTTTGGGCCGAGATTAAATCGACGGTGACACGAATTGTTTCTGAACTCAATTTCTAATGACCCGCAAAATATGTTTGGAAGGGAGAAAAACCTTCAATGCTTAATTAGATCTCGCTCATAAACTGTTAGAGCTCGGGTATAAAAATTACACGGGAATCCTACGAACTGATATGTATTTTTCAGTTCTTACAAATAATCTAAAAAAAAAATAGAAAATTACAATCGAACTGAAAAATAAATTAAAACTTAAAACAAAACGGAAAGATTTTTAGCCGAGGCGAGTAAAACTCTTTCCGCAAGAAGAATACGCCCCGTGTGGCAGCTAACGGTTCAGGCGTAACTTCCCCAAAGATACAACGGCAAACGTCTCTAAATCTGTAGCACACCAGATTTACGAGCTCCGGCGAACTGAAACGGAGTCGAGAATTGAGCACTTAAAAATAGGAATAAAAATATCACTCTTTTGTTATTTTGATAACAAATAAATATTTCTATATTTTTCTCTCTGATATTTTTGTCCCTCCAATATTATTTAGGAATAATTTTTCCATTCTTTTTCTTCTCCTTTCTTCCCTTTTTTTTTTTTTTTATTTCTTTCTCTGCCTTGTTTCTTCTCTCCTTTTCTGTGTCTTTCATCAAATGGTCTGCTTCCAATTTATAGAGATGAAAAAGAACAACTAATAGGTTGTTGGCTTAATTAAATCCGAGTAGATGGAGAGGTTAGCATATTTGTTATGGAGAGGTTAGCATATTTGTTGAGAGATTAATTAATTTGGTTGTTAGGAGTAGGAGATAGTTGACCGAATCTTTAATTAACACTCACATATAATTAA